AAAATCAAAGAGACACAGACTGACAGAATGGATGGAGAAACAAACAAACAAAAAACAACAACAACAAAAAAGAAAATCTCTGCAATAAAGGCACACTCGACCACCATGGTTGTTAAGTTGGTGGGATCAGCACCTCCCATAGGAACCCAGACCCACTTTGGGGGAAGGGCAGCTGGAACCTGCAGTAGAACCTTGCAGAGTTCAATCCTCCAGGAGTTCAGGGACCTCAACTTAGCCCTTGCAGCCAGAAATCAGCCTGAATCTCAGTGGACTACAGCTGGCTTGCTAAGACTAATTGACTTAGATCTCCACACTGCTGGCCACGTTGTCTACCGCAATAGCAGAGACATACCCTGAAGGAGGCCCTTTTTTAAAAAAATATTTCTCTCTCCCTTCTTCTTCTGCATTTCTCTCCCTCTTTGTTTCTGTCCTATTTTGGACTGTTTTTCCTGTCTTTCCTTCTCTTGATTGTCATTATTCTTAAAGAAAGGTGAATACACTCTCTAGCTTCCCTATTGCTGTTAGTTTGTTCTGTTCTTGTCTTTGTTCCTTTGCTGTCTTTTCCTCTTGTCTTCAACAGTTTCCCAAAATTTGTGTGATCTGCCTATGGCTTCTAGCCTCACTTCTAACCTTTTCCTCTCCTTCTATCTCTCTATCCCTTCCCCAACTCCTTCTAAGACCTCATCCCAAAGGGTAAATTTGCTATACTGAAGGGTTTATTTACTACATATTTTGGGCTGGTCCTAGATTTTGATCTAGCTCATGTAGTTAAAGGTGACAGATTAATAGCTACCACAAACTGTCATATTCTAACCTGTGTTTGATGCTATTGTTGATGCTGATTGTATCACTTGAGCTAAAGTGTTGTGATTGATCTAATCAGTGTCCTCCCTGGTATAGTAAAAAAAATAGATTGCCTAAGAGTCATTAGAGACTCAAAGCCTAAAGACCAGCTATACCTGGAAGACACCTCTAAGAAGCAATCATTCCATAAGAGTTCTAAATACAAGCAATAAGGATACTCACAATAAGTAATATTGAAGTATCAGCCCAGGAATTAAAAACCAAAAACAGCACACCACCAACAAAAATAGAAATGAGAAGACACCTAAACAAGGTGCAAACCCAGACTTCCAGCTCACCACAGGCAAATTCTGGGGACAACGAAGTAGAAAGATCTGATAATCAACCACCTGGACACCCCGAACTGATAGCATGGAAATAACAAAACAGATGAACAAGGCTCTAGAAAAATTCAAAACAAATAATTTCCCAAATAACTACAGTGATGGTGAGCAGAGATGATTAGACATAATTAGAGACTCTAGAACAAAAACAGATTAAAAAAAATGAGTTCAGGACCCTGATGGAAGCCATGAATGCCCAGCATAGGAAAGAAATGGACACCATGAATACCCAACATAGGAAAGAAATGGAATCCATGAAACAGATTCAAACAGATATCCAGGAGATTAAAAACTCCACTGAAAGTATTCAAAGCCGAATGAGCCAATTTGAAAATAAGTATCAGATCTAAAAGACAGGAGTGTGGTTAGTGACCATGAAAAGAGAGATTTCTTAAAAATAGTAAGAGCCATGAGAAAGCGATCCAGCGGCTGCTAGACGATGCAAAGAAGAATAACAAAAGACTGATAGGAGTCCATGAAAAAGCAGGAGACAGTACAAATGACATAAAAAAATTGTTCACAGAAGTAATGGCAAAAAACTTCCCAAGTAGAAGAAAAGAATTTGACATACATATAAGTGAGGCATGTGGGACTCCAATTAGGCATGATCAAAAAAAATCTGCACCTCAACATTTAATAGCCAAGATCTGAGAAATCCAATAGAAGAACAAAATCCTACAAGCAGTTAAAGAAACAAATCCCATACAAAGGAAACCCCATCAGAATCACAGCAGACTTTTTAACACAAACCCTCGAGACAAGGAGAGCTTGGAGTAAAGTATTTCAAGCCCTACAAGAAAATAACCTCCAACCTAGAGTGTTGTATCCTGCAAAATTATTTTTCAAAAATCGATGGGGAAATCAGATACTTCCACAACAAAAGAACACCGAGAAACTTCATGAATACCAAACCAGCACTCCAAACAATTCTAAACAATATCCTAGAAAAAGACAATGAGGGTCACAACTCCATGAGGCCCAACAGAGCGCAGCGATCAGGAAAGGCAAGAAATTAAAGGGAAAGGGAGAAAAATAAAAAATAAAAGAGCCAACAGCAGGAAAATATCATGACAAGAAGTACAATTACTACATGAACCTACCCAGACCCATACCCTCCAATCCACAGACCCTCTACACATGGCCCCACTTACCCAAGTCCCATCAGCAGGGCACAAGAATTCCTGTATCATCACCTCCCACACATAACACTTTGAACATGCTGTTTTTTGCCAGGTTACCCAGAGCTCAATATCTCACTACTGTTTTAAATAGTCTCTATGTTCCATTTCTCCATTTTTTTGTTTGTTTGTTTTTTGAGATAGTCTCACTATGTAATTCAGGCTGGCCTTGAACTTACTGGAATTATCCTGCCCCAGCCTCCTGAGTGCTGGATTACAGTGATGTGCCATCATACCTGGCTCACATTTCTCCATTTTAGAGACTGAAAAAATGAGGCTCAAAGCCTGGACCCCACTCACCCAACAAAGGCTCATGAAGGCCAGCATCCCCTAGCCGCAATAACCCTTTCCACCTCACCACATCCCCCACCGGCATGGGCATAGCCACAACTTCCTCCTCCTCCTTCCTTTCACACCTATAGTTACTGTCCCTTCTGCCAAGCCTGAGCTGGCTCAGAGCTCCACCAGCAGAATTTTAAGGCCCATTCCTAAGGTGACATACTCTGGCCACCACTCCCTGGCCCCATCCCAGCCACAGCCCCTACTCACTGGTTGAAAAGCATAGACAACATGAGCTCATTGGTCTCCTCCGGCAGGTTGGTGAGGAACAGGATGTGATTCGGTGGATTCTCTGACAGCTGCCAGAAAAGGAGGGAAGCCCATTAGCAGGAACCTAGCAGATCTAGCTGCTGTCCCCTGCTCAACTTCCCTCCCCGTCCTTGGACTTCTAGCATTTCCATCAGCTCCACATGTTGCCAGGCTACCTGCACTCCCCCACCCTCAGACTATAGGCCACAAGAGATAGACATATGTCTCTTCTGGCCACTGCTGTATTCGAGTGCAAAGCAGGGCCTAGTATACAAGAATGTGCTCAGTAAGGAATGAATCCAGATGCTGGCTAATGCTCCCATCTCACCCCAACCTTCCAGACCTCCTCTCTGGCCCAGGGCTCAACTTCACAGCTATCTGCTCACCTGTAAAGACACTCTGTTGCAGTATCACCTTCTCAGGGCGATACCCAGATCACCCAATCTAGAAGAGGCCACATTAGTCCCTTTCTAATCTCACACTCCATTTACGAGACCATGAGGGGACTAGATACTTACAGGCTGGGCAGGCGGCATCTGCCCTGGCATAAGCTGCTGCGGGGGCATCGCCCCAGGGGGCATCTGGCCTGGTGCAAGGCCTGGAGGCGGGATCATGCCAGGAGGCGGCATGTAAGGCGGCTGGCCCGGCATGTGGTGCATGATGCGGGGTGCCTGAGTCATTGGTGGCATGCCCTATGGAGAGAGGGGACGAGACTGACACACAGCAGGTAGCAGGAGGCAAGGTTCTGATCTCCACAGGAGGCAAAGGAGCAAAGGCCATTAAAGAAAACCCAAGGGGCTGGGGATTTAGCTCAGTGGTTCCGCCGCCTGCCTCACAAGTGCAAGGTCCCGAGTTCAATCTCCAGTACCGAAAAAAAAAAAAGAGTGCCGGGTAGAGAAAAACAGACCTAGGTTCAAGGGGGTCATGAAATCCAAGACTGTACACACCTGTAACCCCACCACTTGGAGGCTGAGGGAGGAGTATAACTTCAAGCCTAGCCCAGACAAATTAGCAAGACCTTCTTTCAAAAAATAAAAGGCCTGGTTCAAGCCCCAGTACCACCTCCCAAAACAGAAAGTAAAAAAACAAAATTTAAAATATTAAAAATTAGAGTGAGCCGGGGATTTAGTTCAGTGGTTTCGTTGCCTGCTGCACAAGTGCAAGGACCCAAGTTCGATCCCCGGTACCAAAAAAAAAAAAAAAATTAGAGTGTGATCCAACTTTGTTTTAGGTATATGAGTAGACAAAGCCTGGAAAAAAAAATGAAAGCTAAGTTAAAGGCATAGAAATATAAACTAAGACACATATTCTACTTTTGCTTAAAAAGTCAAAAGCTAAACCGGGCAATGTAATGCACACTTGTAATCCCAGCACTCGTGAGGCTGAGGCAAGAAGATCACCGCTAGCTTGAAGCCGAGTTCGGCTACACAGTAAGTTCAAGACCAGGCTGGACTACATGGAGAGACTGATTCTCTCCAAATCAATCAATCAAAAACTAAAGAAAGAGACCCAGAGATCTAGGGAGAACAAAGACAGTGAAGGGTTACTGATACAGCTGAGGGGCAGAGTGCTTGCCTAGCATGCGCAAGTCTCTAGGTTTGATCCTCAGCCCTGCTGGGGTGTAAAAAAGTGGAAGTCAAAGATGGGAAGAGATGGTAGGGGGAGGTGCAGAAAGAAATGGTTGTTGACAAAAAAAGTATATAGACAGTATGATGGCACACAGAATGCCCACAGCCAGAATCCCAATCACATGGGTTAAATGTGGAAGAAAAGATGGACAGAGGAGAGAAGAGGGCTAACAATGAGGAAGCCCAACAGAAATGCAGACACTATCACCAGCTCCAACAAAGTGAGACCCAGTCTGGGAGCCATTAAACTCTTGAGAGTGGGTCCAACTCACTCATCTTTTGTACTTAGCACTCCCTGTTTTCTTCTAGAACCTTTAGTGTCACACTCGACTCTATGAATCAGCTCAAGTTACTTCTATTTTTGAGGTAGAACTAATTTTTATCCTTACAGATCCAATGGCCATCATTAACCTAGGAGAAAAATCAGTCCTAGTACTGTGGTACCTTGATCATACATCAAGTAATGGACATCTGTGGCTGTTTCTACAGTCTCTGTTCTACCCCGCTGTACCATCTTCTTACTCTCATAGCATTAGCACATCACCCTGACTGCTGGAACTTTCTCGTTTCACTCACTGCTGTGGTCTCGATTGCTCCAGCAGTATCTATTATGAGTGCTGCACAGTTTTGCACTTTTTTTGGTATTGGGGATGGAACTCACCACCTTGCTCTTACTGCACACTTTTTGGATTTACTCCTTAGTGCTTCTTTTTCAATATGAGCTCTATTTGCATGTTTCTAATATGTAGAAACAACTGTTTTTCACATTAATTTTGAATCTGACTTTTCCAAAATAAAGTCATTTATTAATCCTAATGGTTAGATTCTCTTAAGATTTCCTACACAGAAGGTTGAGGAAAGAAGCCAGGTGACAGACATAAAGAAAAGACAGACTTTCAGAAACACTAAGCTGGGGGAGAACGGGCATTTTGAGTGGAGACATGACCACCCAGCCGTTCAGCCCCTCATCCCACAAGAGAGACATATCTGTGAGGGAACAATGGAAGGAAGGGATCCTGAATCCCCAGTGAAGAATTCTCCCCACCCTGCCTCCACGGGGTCACACTGAGGGAGGCCTGCTGGTGAAAGGGAAGTGTCTGTGCCCTGGCTTACCGGGACAGGGCCCTGGACAGCTCCCACCACAGGGGCAGCCGCCCCACCCTGCACAGCCTTCTTGGCAGATGGCGTCTCTTGGCTCTTGGGCTTCCTCTTCTCCCGCTTGCGGTCCCGCTCCACAAAAGTACCCTTCATCTTGGCAATAATATCTGAGTCGGTCTTGGCATACTGGATGCGCTATCAAAGAGAGCACAAGGATTACAGGATGGAATTCAGAGCCAAACTGCATGGGTCCAAAAATCAGACCTTACCAGGAAAAGTGTTGGCTTACCATGCATGATGCCCTGGGCTTAGTTCCAATACAAAAGAAAGAAAGGAAAGAAAGGAAAGAAAGGAAGAAAGGAAAGAAAGGAAGAAAGGAAGGAAGGAAGGAAGGAAGAAAGGAAGAAAGAAAGAAAGAAAGAGGGAGAGAGAAAGAAAGAAAAAGAAAGAAAGAAAGAATCAATCACTTGGTTTTAACTTCCTCATGTATCAAGTGGGGATTATGAAATTTCCCATTTCAAAAGATTATTGTGAGGATTAAATGAATTTAAAGTGCTCAGAATGAATTTTGGTACTTTCCAGAGAAGACAAGACTGCCTGAGCATCGGGCCAAAGGCAGAACCCTAAGGAGGCAAAGCTAGCACAGCATTATGCAGAGAAGTTCTATGCAATCTCATTCACTCGGCCCTCTGTGGAGGACCCACTGCTACCTGGCCCCATTCTGGGCTCTGGGAGCACAGTAGCAGCCAGAACAGACAAAAGCCCTGCCAAATGGCACTTACTCTGTGTGGGAGGTATGGTAATGAATAAAGCATGAAATGAGAAGGGGATGTGAAGTGTCGAGAAGTGAATTTTTCAGGTGGCCAGGAAAGGGCTCATGAGGCAACGTTTGTGCAGAAGCACAAAGGGAAGGGTGGAGTGAGCTGTGAGGGCACCTGGGGTAGAGTCTATAGCAAAGGGAACAGCCATGCACAGAGCTAAGGCCTACATAGGGTGTTCCAGAAACAGCAATGAGGCTAAGGGGATGAGTGGGAGGGAGGAGACAAGGTTACAGAAACAGGGGACCTTGGTGAGGACTCTGTCTTTCCTAGGAACCTGAGAGCAGTGTGGAGTGCTGTGAGCAGAAGAGTGATGGGCTGGCTCTCCCTTGTGTCTCAAAAGGTGAACTGTGGTACAGTGTGGAGAATGGAACAGGAATCCAAGTGGGAGAGAACAGGGCACTGCCATCACCCTGATGGCGGAAGGTGGTGGCTAGGACCAGGCCAGCAGCAGGGAGGAATGAGATGCAGGCAGCTAGTAGATATTTTGAAGGTAGGGTGGACAGGACTCTGACAAAATTTACACATACCTAAGTGTTTGATGTGCTCTAAGCAGTTACTGGGGGATAGGGGGATACAAAAAGATTTTTTTTTTTTTTTTGAGACAAGGTCTCACTATGTAGTTTAGGCTAGTCTCAAACTTGTGGTGATCCTCCCTGCCTCAGCTCCCTAAGTCCTGGAATTATAGGCGTGTGCCACCACACCTATCTAAAATTTATGGTTTTTAAACCTCAAAAGTCAATTCCTAGATGCTTGAAAAAGGCATCTGGAAGATGTGGCAATGCCAGACTGCTGTACCCAGAGGTGACAACAGGTAGAAGACAATACTGTCTTCTCTGGAGGGAGGTGACAGGTATCTGGCTATTCCTGGAGGCCCCTGCCTCCCATGTGATCCACCCCAGGGAGTTGATGCAGAAGACATATTCCAATCAGGTGAAACTAAAAACTCGTTGGGGCAATGAGGGAAAAGGCCCAAAGAAAGATCCCTGTCAGCATTCCACCAGGCACTGTAGTTCAGAGCAAAGACACTAGCTACTCCTCACCTCCCACAGCATGCAGGCTCCTGGGCAGCCACCTGGCCTCTGGGAACATCCACAATACATCCTCTTCTCAAACCCTATGGCCCTGCCTGGTCCAGACCCAAATCCTCCCATCTCAATGATCCAGCCTCACCCTGGCAATCCGACCCTAAGCCCCCTCCTCCAATCCACTCTGCTCAACAGCCAGAGGCATCTCCTTAAGCCCTCCCTCGGCTCCCACCACTCTCGATTAAGTCTACTTTCAGGACAACTCCAGCTCCTTAGCCCAATACTTGTCACGCTTGAGGCCATACTCTCCCCAGCACCTCTCCCTATACAACTTTGATAGATTTCCTTCCTCAGTTATAGGCTTTGTTACCTCTGGGCCTCAAGGCACAGTCCCTCTGCCTAAACACTCTGTCTCTCTCCTCCCCCAGCTGAGTCTTCTGCTCTTTCAAGTTTCATTTCATGCAGAAAGCCCTGCTTAAACCTACAAACTGGGTGAGGTGTCTCCCCTAAACTCGCTCAGCTCTCTGTGCCTTCCCTTGTCCCAGTCCAGACACCCCAGGCCTGTACCTCCCCATCCTGGTCCCAACCTCTCTGCCTGTCCTTCCCCATAGGACTATGGGTCTGGAAGGGAAGGGCTTGGGGATCATTTAGTCACTGGGTGTCTCCACACCCCTCATTCAAGAAAAAGTAAATACCAAGGAAGAGCAAGATAAAATACCATCTTTAGTATATTAGACTACAGCTGACAAGAGGTTCAGGCCCATCCATTCTCCTGTAGCACACGCACACACAAAGGTGCACACATCCACAATCTCCACACCCACAATGCTCACCATGGGCTTGTCGTAGAAGGGGAAACCTTGCATGGAGCGCAGGGCGTTGGTGGCGCTGCTGACCTCCTTAAAGATGACAAAGGCCTGGCCCCTCATCTTCAGGCTCCGTGATACCAGGATATCCAAGATCTGGCCAAACTGGGAGAAGATGGCATACAGGGACTTCTTCAGCTCTGCAGTTGAGGAAAGAAAAGACCAATGGTGTTCAGAAGCTTTGGCACCACATCAGGGACTTAAGGTCCTGTTTTCAGAGGAAGTAAACTCCAGATAAGAGGCCATCAATCCCAGAATTTAGCTCAATGTGACACCATGCCTGCACTGGAGTGCAAGGTCCTAAGTTCAACCCCCCCACCCCCGGGGTGGGGAGGTGGGGGACGCACCAGCCAAGCAACAGTACCCAGAATGACACAAGTCAGTAATCTCTCAAGATTCTACAACAATGGGAACAGGCAGGAACTACTCAAATGGTCAAGTGTACTCTTCTACAAGACACAGACAGTCACAGTACCTGCCCACAAAACCGATATAGGAGGAACATAAGTACCTATACACAAAGGGCTCAGAATAGCACCTGCCGCATAGTAAGTGCTTAATACACACAAGTACTTTTGTTGTTTTTGAGATGGGGGTCTCACTAGGTAGCCCAGGCTGGCTGCCAACTTGTAATCCTCCTGTCTCAGTCTCCTGAGGACCTGGGATTACTGATGGTACACGACTTAACACTTCTTTCACTGCATATTGACACAGGGTTGATTAATGTGGTCCTAGCAGATTTTCCCAACCTTGTCTTTGCCTACACTCCACCTCCATCCCCAGCCACAATGGGACTGTACTCCTTTCTCAAGCCCAACACACCAATTCTGCCTCTAGGACCTGGACTATCCTCCTCCTGATGTTAACCTGGCTGCCTCCTTCTAGTCACTCAGGTCTCAGCAGATATGCTGTCATGCCAAGAGTTTCTCTGACCATCATGTCTGTATGTCCCCCCATGTCCTCACCCTACTGCCTTTTCTTCATTACACTTCATCTTCCAACGTCATATGCTTACATACCATCTATCCTTAGGAGCTGTAAGTCCACCTGATTTGTTCACCGCAGTCTCCCCATGCCTAGTGCAGATTCCAGCACACATGCAACCCTCCAAACATTGAAGAATAAAAACATGGAAGTGCTTTATGAAAAAAACCTCACTAAATCCTCACAACAATCCAGTGGTGGCATCACTTGTGGTCCCATTTTTACACTAAGACAGAAATGGGCTCTCAGAGAATTTGTCTGATCTACAGAGGAGCATTCTGAGGGTGCTGGGAAGGACACGTCAGAACCAGCTCTACAACCTAAGTCTTTCTGAACCCTGGACCACTATAAACTATCAGTAAACAGCCTCATTTGACACTAAGTGGGATTCAAGCTAAACGAAGGATCCCTCTAACAATCAAGGCCTGAAAAGGGTACCAACAGTTTATACAAAGAAGACTACATAGCAAAACCGTCTCAAAAAACAAAAACAGAAGGTGGCTGAGATGCAGGTGCTTGATGAATGAGACAGTACTACAAAAAGGAAAGAAAAAAAAAAAAAAACGGAGGGCTGGGGATTTAGCTCAGTGGTTCCACCACCTGCCCTGCAGGCGCAAGGACGGGAGTTCAATCCCCGTACCAAAAAAAGGAAAGAAAATGGATGTGAAGGTAATCTGGCCACAACATCTGTCACCCCCCATTGATCACCAGGGATGATTCAGTTAAGTTGGTTGGCTAGGTGGGTGTCCCCTTTCACCCTCCCGAAGCTGTGTGCTGGGCTGAAGAGGAAGATGGAGGAGGACCATTTCCTTGATCAAGGTATGCAAGTAGCTGCACTTCCCTGCTAGAACCTCCAAACAAGCTCTCAAAAAAAGAAAATGTGGGCTGGGGATTTAGCTCAGTGGTTCCACTGCCTGCCTCGAAAGTGCAAGGGCCTGAGTTTGATCCCTAGTACCGAAAAAAAAAAAAAAAAAAGAAAAGAAAGAAAATGTATGTATGTGTTGACTAGGGGGATGAGGGTCAAGGTGTTTTGAAGCAATTAGCCAGCAATTCTGGTGTGAACATATCTCGTTTTTTCCTCCATGTCCCTCTCCATCAAATCCAGTCCAGATCTCAGTCATTCCCTTGGGTTTTGGACCTTCCCCCTCACTTTGCAGCCTCCCCTCCTGCCCACTCAAAGACATTCCAAAAGGGACACAGTCAGGACAGGGGAGCAGCATGGCTTCCCAACACCCTCAGAACAAAGTTCCATGCCCTCCCAGGCCCATGAGGCCCCATGAGCCACCAGTGTTCTGCTCATTGGAAGCTTCACCATTTATAGGCCTCAAGGCCTTGGGCCCACCAAACCACTTAAGAGTTCCCAAAACACCCCATGCTCTTCTACCCCTGGACATTTGTACATGCTAGCCCAAATAAGAACAATTTCTTCCCAGGCGAAATGGTACATGCCTATAATCCCAGCAACTGGGAGGGCCAAGGCAGGAGGATCACAAGTTTGAGATCAACCTGGGCAATTGAGCAAAAGCCTATCTCAAAAAATAAAAAGGACTGGAGACGTAGCTCAGTGGGCGAGTGCTAGCAAGGCCCTGGGTTCAATCCCCAGAACTTCAAAAAAAATATAAGAAAAATACAGTCAGGTGTGGTGGCGCACACCAAAAATCCCAGCACTTGGATCACCAGGAGTTCAAGGCCATCCTGGGCTACAATGTGAGACCCTGTCTCAAAAAAACCTCTTCTACTTCAGAACATAAATATGGAATTAATGCTTCTTCTGCTCAGAAGGGTTTTCCGAAATGTCTCTTTTCTATCAAATCCAATCAATCTGTCTTTCTAGACTCCCAGCTGCAGTGTGGCTACTCGGCCTGTGCTTCCCCCACCACATCCCTGACTACTCTGGGCTGCTCTACTCTGTCTGGCAGTGCAGGACCAGGGCTCTGTCATCAGTGTGTGTCCATGGCACTATCCAACTCTGGCTAGACACCACACTTTAAAACCACATGCACAATTTACATTCCTGCTCTTGTTTTCTTCAACAGCAACTTAACTAGAAACCTCAAACTTAATCCCAACAAGCTCCTTTGGTTCTCCTGACAGTTTTCCTGAGGTGGTAAAAAGAACTAACTTTCATTCAGCCCTCACTAATTGCTGGGTCCCATAAAAAGCACCACATGGAGGTTTAGCTAATCTGAACCCCCCCACACACACACACCTGTAATCCTAAACTCAGGAGACTAAGGCAGGAGGATCACCTTGCGTTTGAGGCCAGCTTGGCCTCAAATAATGAATTCAACATAATGAATTCAAGTGCAGCATGAACTACACAGCAGAACCCTATCTTTTTTTTTCTCTTTTTTAATTAATTTTATTGGTACATTTTAGGTATACATTATGATCATGTTCATCATTGGGAATTTGTGCCTGTGTATGATATATGCAGGACCCTATCTTGAGAAAAAAAAAAAAAAGATGTGTGTGTGGGATTATGACTTTGCCCAGTTTTCAGATACAGAAAATTAGGTTCAGTAAAGGTGATAAACTACTCAAGAAAATGGAAGTCTTTCTGATTTCAAAAATTGAATTTTGGGTGTGTATAGCGACATCCATCCCAAGAATTGAGGGGGGGGGCTATCTTTTTTGCAGTATTAGGGACTAGACCAGAGTCGCACAGAGCTACACTCCCAGCCCTTTTTATCTATTTATTTTTTGGTACCCAGGATCAAACTTGGGACCTTGTGCTTGCGAGGCACACAGTGGAATCACTGAGCTAAATCTGCAGCCCCAGCCCTTTCTATTTTTGAGACAAAGTCTTGCTAAATTGCCCAGGCTAATATGGAACTTGGGATACTCATGTCACAGCCTTCCAAGTAGCTGAGCTTACAGGCATGGTCCAAAGAATTAATTGAGTTCTTAACCCGAATTTCGTATCTGTGATCTCGATCACTCTGTGACCGGCTCTGTGACCGGCTCTGTGACCTTGAGCAAATTACATCACCTGAGCCTCAAATTTCCTAGTCTCAGAAATGGGAAAAACAATAGCATCCCCCTGCAGGTTTGTGAGAATTAAATATAATCAAGATTTATGAAAGTGCATAAATCATCAGGCCGGGGATTTAGCTCAGTGGTGCTACCGCCTACCTTGAAAGCACAAGATCCTGAGTTTGATCCCCGGTACCAAAACAAGGTGCATAAATCTGCCCCAGGTAGTGTGTTAACCACCTAATTGCTACTAGTGTACATTTCCATTATGGGCTGACCATTGACTACACTGCAATGACGAAGTCAGGTTCGAGTTTCTGGCCTGACAGAATGACTGGGCTTGATGGGGAGAGATCTAGGAACGGTTCCTAGAGAAGAGGTTCTGTGAACTAAAACCCTGAAGGATTACTGTATCAACAGAAACCAGATTAAAGAAGGGGTGTAAAATGAACTAAGGGCGTGCTGAACACATAGGAAACCGTATGTACAAAGGCCAAGGAATTAACTAGCAGTTTGGCTGGACAGGGCTGAGAAAAAGAGGATATATATTGGAGGTAGAAAGGGGCTTCATGCAGGGCAATCAAGAATCCAGACTATCCCCCAAACTCACCATCTTTCTTGATCTTCTCATTGAGGTTGTTGATATAAATAGTGTGGTTGGGGCGGGTCTCGGGAACGGCCATGGTAGGGCTTAAAAGTGGAAAAAGACTTCAGCCGAGTTTCTCCAAATCTCCTGTTCCAACCCTGGACCGGCTTAACTCAAGGATTTTCCTTCCAAGAGAAGGTCTGGTTAACACCAGAGTTTGGGGCGGGAGGTGCAGTTTGGGCAACAAAGCGTGCGTAGGTTCCCCGGTCTCCCTCCCGCGTGCTAAGAGAAATCTACAGCTTACTACAAGTCCCAGAATGCCCTACGCGGCCCAGTAGGCGGGACGTCCCCAATGGCGAGCTCATTGGCCCTCCCGCCCAAAGAGAGGGCGAGAGTGAGAAAAAAACCCGGATGTGAGAGCCACTTAAGAAAGCAAATTTAGGGCACCCCAACCTTGCACAGCAATAAAATCTCACCATACGTGCCACGGGAAGCCCCGACTCCATGTATGATGCTCTGCCCACCTTCCCGTCACCAACAGCCGCCTAAACCTGAGATAACTTACCAAGAGGGCCGCAAGCCCAGCGAGTACGCCCAGCGAAGTTCTTCAAACCAGACCAAGATGCTTCTTTTCCCGGCCCCACCTTTATCTTCCTGCAACCCAATCCCCGCACGGATATTAGGTAGGTCGACCAGTCAGAGTAAGTTTAGTCCTGGGCCGAAAGCTTACCAATCAAAACGACACTTGGATTCCCGCCTCAGCGGTAAGAACCCGCCCCATTGATCACGTCGCCCCCGCCTACGGACCAATCAGCGAAGGTCACGAGCTTCCTACCAATCCCAACGCAACTAGCGTTGTTGTCTTTTCCGGAAGCAGTCGTTAGGAAGACCCACCTCTTCCCCGCAGTCTCGCGTCTTCGGTCACGTGATCGACAAAGGGGTGGGCATGCGTTGCGAGTTCCGCCGCGTGATGGGAAGGCGGTGTGTGGGGGCCGCTGTTTTGCGCCGAAGAGACGTGCGTTTCACCTAAACTGTGTTTCCTTTCCCCGCTGTATCTCGGATCATCTTGGCCTCAAATCTCGGAGCCGTCACCAACTCACAGACTTTTCCTGCTGCCGATTCTACGATTTTATCCACAACTAGGCCATTTTCCCTTCCTGGTGTCCTTTTTGACCTCTTGACCTCTGGCTCAAAGGTCAGCTCCAGGGTTCATTACTCGGGCGTGGGCTGTGAGCGGGGGCAGAGTCTAAATTCATTCCATCTCTAGCTCCAGGCTTCTAAGTCTCACCGTCTAGGGACCTCACTACAGATTTGAAATTGACCCAGGGAGTTTACAAATCCAGTCCCAGAGAATAAGACAAGTCCTACAAAATTTCCTTTCCTGAACGTCCCGACCGCCACCGCAGCCCCTCCCCATTACCACAAATTCTGATTCTGGGATTAACCACCATGTTAACGCTAAGATTTCTTATGAGTTAGACCCAGTTCCTGGTCCTATGGCTTCAAATTTTAACTCTGGTTCTTTCACAGCCACTGCTCAGCTCCCCAGTTGTGGAAATCGGTTCTAAAATCTGTATCCTTGAGACAAAACCTTTGGGGAACTCCTGCCTTCTCGTATTCTTAACCCCTCAACCCCTTCTGAAGGCCCCAAAATGACTTCTTTGTGCTCTCCTCCCGTAGAATCCTCAGTCCCTCCACCAAGAACCTCTGCACCCCGGCCCCTCATTCCACCTCCTCTACTCCCAGACCCCTTGGACTTATCTTTTCCACTAGCTCCCTGTAGCCTCCAGACCCCTATCCCCCCACCACCCCCACTGCCTCCACCCCCTGCCACTGTTGCTGCTCCCCCTCTTGTCTATGGCCTGGAGAAGCACCAGCTCCTGAAGGAGGCCTTGGAGAAGGCAAGCCCAAACCCCAAGGGTCGAGAAGATGTGAAGAGGCTCCTGAAGCTGCACAAGGACAGGTAAGGTCTCCCCACCTCCCCACCCAGGGTCTCACCAAACCACCTGTCCCCAGGTCACTTCAGCCATTTCTTCTCAGGTTTCCCATTTTATGAGGTCAAACAGGTTATGACTTCAGTCCCCTATCGTGGTGATGCACCGCCAGCAATGAAAAACGCCGCTCTCAGGAGTGCCTGGTGCAGGAGGTGAGGCAGACCCTCCACCCACCCAGACAGTGACACCCAGGAGTGGTCAGGCTGAGGTGACAGAGCTAGCTCTGAATGGAGGGGAGAGAAGGCTACAGAGGGTTTGAGTTCTGAGTGGTGCTGAGCCAGTCACACAAGGGGCTTGTTATGAGAGCAGACACTTGGGCAAAGGCCCAGAGCAAAATGAGGACATGTTCCTTTTAAAGAACTGCAAACATTTAGTTAGCAGGACAAGGGAAATGCCAAAGATGGGGCTGAAAGGTGGGCAGGACCAGCTCAAACATGTGAAGAGTTGAACTGTCCTGGGGCAGTGGGGACCCAGGGAAAGGTTTTGCTCAGGGAGGTATCAGAAGATAGGAGGCAAGTCCAGGGGCCCAGGAAGGAAGGCAAAAGACTTCCCAGAGACTGGGAAGGAGAGAAGGCAAGAGGAGGGGCTTAGATATGTGCTGGGACTGTGGGGGTTTTAGAGAAGACAATAAAGGAACTTCCCAGACTGTAGAAGAAATTCCCAAGCCCTCCAGCCATGTTTATAATTGGTCCTAAGTGCCCCAAGCATAGTAAGACAAATTGAATGCAATTAACACCTGTTACCATCTGACTAGTGCATGTCACATACTATTCTACGAGTTGTTCAGGACTTATCAGAATTTATTGTTCTCAACAACTTCAAAAGGTTGGTGTTACTACTGTCTCATTTTTCAGATGAGAAAACTGAGGTTCACAGAGGTGAAGTCACTTAGCCATAGTGCAAAAAAGAGGGAGGGCCATGTTTGAACTGTGGCAGAGCTCTCAGTGACTCTAACTACCCTGCTGTGGTATCATCCCCTTCCATCAGGAGGCTCCCAAAAACGGGATCAGAGCTGGGTGTGGTGGCAAGTGCCTGTAATCCCAGCACTCAGGAGACTGACGCAGAAGGATCACAGCAAATTCAAGGCCAGCTTGGACTACATAGTGAGACTGCACTACAAAGTGAGACCCTGATTCCAAAAAAAAAAACTGGGGGTCAGGAGCTCTGCCCTCATCCCCTGCCTTGCCCTCTCACTGGCCCTGGAATAGGAATAATAAGCAGTGACCCTAAGCACTGGGGGATTGGGGCCACCAAAACTGGGTGGCCCCCCCAGTGTGGGGCTAGTCAGGCATGACTAGATTCATTATCAAGGTGATCTTTTAGGTCTTGAATATGTTGTTACCTAGTTTTATTGAAGGCTGAATTGAGGGATTTTTGTCTTGATTTTTGTGTTAACAGACTTTTTTTTTTCTTTAGTTTTTTGAGACAGGGTCTTACCATGTAGTTCAGGCTGGCCTTCAGTATGTAGCCCAGGCTGGCTTTGAATTTGCTGCTGTCGTTCTACCTCAGCCTCCTGAGTGCTGGAATTACAGGCATGCACCACCGTGTCTTGTTTAACAGACTTGAAGGGGGAAAATCACCACTGAATTTGGGTATAAGGTCCCCCTTGAGAAATTTCCTCAACTCAATCTGACTCCTGATTGCAGAGTTTTCACATTTGCTCTTGGGCCTTCAGTTGAGAGAAGGAGCTGGGTCAGGCAGGCAGCAGGATGATCCTCCCCCTGCCTGATGAGGAAGCTAAGCCTCTGGAAGGGGGCATGCCTTACAAGGAGACAAGGAAGTTAGCCGCTGAGCCAGAAGCAGGCCTCCTGCCTAAGGACAACCAGGCCTGTGCTCACTTCCCAGTCCCTGACACCTGCTCCCAGCTGGACCTGGGAGACTGTAGCATTGTTCCCCTGTGACCCAAGCCCGGCCCTGCTCCAGGTTCCGCAGTGACTTGCAGTGGATCCTCTCCTGTGCTGACCTGCCATCGCTCATCCAAGAGGGCCCTCAGTACGTGCCCGATTCAGCTGCCCTTACTCTGCCTGGCTGGGCTTCCTTCCTAACCTGAGCTGGTAGGGTGGGAGGGGTGCGCTTATCTAGCAGCCTGGGGGTGTGGGAGCGCGTGGAGCGGGGGTGCTTTCCACATGGGGTGCTGGGGCCCCCAAGTGAGCTAGTGAGTGAACTCCAGGATTTGAACAGATGAACCTGCTCTGTCTCTTAACTCCCCAGAAGCCCAAGTGCCCTCTGTCCCCACCCTCCAGCCCTGAACTTGGGCCTGGGCCTTCTCCCGAGAAGGGGAGTCAGGTCTCCCCATCTGGCCTAGGAGAAGGGAGGGAACTTGGTCCCCTACTCCAGCTTCTAGGGTAGAGAAGCCCCATAAGGGGCTGGGCTTGTCTCTCCCAGGTGTGGACTGGTAGCCTTGTGGATGGCAGGCGCTCTCCTGTCTCCACCCAGTGGCGTCCCCCTAGAGACACTCGTGCAAGTGGCCATGGACAGAGGCTACACAGCCCAAGGAGAGATGTTTTCTGGTGAGTTGGTGGAGAAGGGCCTCAGTGTTCCATTGGCCCCTCCCTGGGATGGGGCTGGAGGAGCCAGGTGGGGTGCTGCTACAGGCATGTCAAGGCATCTCATTCTCTAAATCCGTGCCGAGCCACTGCCTAGTAGGCCAGAGTGGTCACCTGGTAGAGCCTGGAGCCAGGCTCCCTGGGTTCCAGACCCAGCTCTGTCACCCACCTGTGGCCATGGACAAGCAGCTAACCCTCTCTGTCCTTCACTTGCTGCATTGTACCTAAGCTTGGGGCTGGTCTTGGTGAGGGTTGGAAACATGGCTCCTGTGGCTCCTGCTCAGCCCCTGGCATGGTGCTGGGCAGCCAGCCAGCCCTCTTTCTGTGTGTGCTCTCACCCGCAGTGGCCGACATGGGCAGGCTGGCCCAGGAGACACTGGGCTGTCAGGCTGAGCTGCTCCGAAATGGCCTAGGCGGCCCCAACAGAGACCTTGTCCTACAGCACCTCCTCACTGGGCATCCCCTGCTCATCCCGTATCCTGGGGCCAGGGAGGGAGCGGGGCAGGCAGGGGAAGAGTGGGTCTCAGTTCTGGCACAGTTTCCGCCCTTAAGAGTAACACCAGCTATGATGAAGACTTCAACCATGAGCCATGTAAGAGGAGGGGGCACAAGGCCCATTGGGCAGTCAGCGCAGGTAGGCTTCCCACCCTTGGACCTGTATGCCTTTCCCCGGGTCTCCTCAGCCCCCATCAGCCCTCTTCATATTCTTAGCCCTGTGCTGACCAAGGCTAGGCCACCTCTTTGCCACAGGGTACTTAGCATGAGACCTGGCAGGTCACAGGTGCCTCAGGTGTCCACCAGTTGGGGTTTCCACAAGCAGGAGCTCAGAGCAGACTCAGGAGCCACACAGTTGTTTCCAGCGCCAGCCCATTCACTTAGAAACCCTGTGACTCTGGACAGGTTTCATCTCTGGGCCTCTGTTTCCCATCTGGAAATCAAGGGTGACAATTAGTACCCACTTCATGAGGCAGTCTTTTTCGTTTGTTTGCTTTTTGAGACAGTCTCAGTATGTGGTTCAGGCTGGCCTTGAACTGGTAGCGATCCTCCTGCCTCAGCCTCCCAAGTGCTGGGATTACAGGTGTGCTCCGCCATGCCCAGCTCCTAAGGCAGTCTTATAGGCGAAGCTTGTAAAATTCCCAGAACATTGGTTGGGACATTACACATCTCAGTAAATATCACCACCATTGTCATTGTCACTCCACCTGCCTGAAAGAAGGTCAGATTGGTACCCATCAGGAGACCACAGTAGAGATACCCTCAGCCTTTTCACGGCTGTGTGGCCTCGAGGGCTCCTCCCTGAGCATCTCTTTCCTGGACAGCTGGAGATCATGGTGTTTGCACCATCTAATGCCACGTCTCCACCCACCTGTGCTCTGGACTGCAGGACTTAAAATTCCAGGGAGCCAAGGGCCCTGGTCCCCTCTCAGCCCAGCTATGTGCCACCTGACCCCCACTAAACTCATCTGTAAGGTGGTAATTGAGACAGCACCTGCCCTGGAGGGCTGCAGGGGCCGAATTCAGGGCACTCCAGCACCTGTTGGTGGCTCAGGTACCTGCCACTCATATCCGCTTCCCTCTCCCTCTCGCCCAGGTGTCCTGCTGGGGGTGCAGGTTGTGCCGAGCCTTGGCTATGCTGAGGATCCAGAGCTGCCCGGCCTCTTCCACCCCATGCCCAGCATGCCCTGCCAGCCACCACCCTTGCCCAAGGAAAACACCTCAGGAACCATCTTCCTTCTCTGCAAGCAGGGAAAGAGTTGGCACTACCAGCTGTGGGACTACGACCAAGTCCAGGAGAGCAACCTACAGCTGACAGACTTCTCACCCTCTAGGGCTGCTGATGGGCGGGAGTACGTGGTGCCCTCTGGGGGGGTGCGGGCAGGCCTCTGTGGCCAGGCTCTGCTCCTCAGACCACAGGAGTCGAGCCACTAGCTGGGGCTGGGGTACCTGCCCTAAACTTGGCTTTGTCACCATTTGAAGAGTGTCCCAGCTTTTCCCCATGTTTGGGCTGGATCTCTGAGGGTCCCCGACCCTTCCCATTTCCAGTCTAAACATCTACCCAAGCCATCTCTTCCAGGATTGGTACTGACTGACCCCTCTTTCAGGAGACACTGGTGGCAAGCAGACCCCATGTCCTACCCACCTCTTTCTCGCTAGGGTGTACATCTTCTAAGCCACTGTCACCTCACTAGACACGTGCAAGAGGCCCCCCGCTCAACATGCTATTCTGCTCCCAGGACAGGGACTAAGCCCTCTTCCTCAGCTTCCCTCTCCTTGGCCCCAAGCTCTTCCTCACCCTCTGCCTGCCTGCCTGCCTACCATGCTGGTCTCTTAGCTCCCTAGAGGCCCAGGCTCTGCCCCAGCCCATCACTCCTCAACTTCATGTTGACTCAGGGATCACTTCCTCAGGGAAGAGACCCCCCCAGCCCCAGCTGCTACTAACCCTTTCTATTTTTGGTTTTGAGATAGCACATCACTATAAATTGTCAGGGGTCTTAAAGCCCATCCACGAGCAGTTACATATGCAACCCCTTTTCCAGCAGAAATTCAACATCTCCCTCCCCGTACAGGAAGTACTAGATTTCCCATTTTAGAACATCTGTTGCACAGAATCCCTGAGACCTCTTCACAGAGTTCTGGAGTCTGAGACATCAGAGAGCATAGGGATGGCCGCCTTGTGTCAGTAAGAGAGCTAGCTCGGGTCTCTTCCTCTTACAAAGCCACTGTGGCTACAGTGGAGCTCCACCCTGGTGACCTCATCTAATCCCAAAGACCTCTCAAAGGCTGCACTTCCAGATACCATCAATGTATGAATTGGAGGATTTAGGTTTCCAGCAGGTGCACTTTGGGGGAATAGGGTCAAATCCTAGCACCCCTCCCCCATTTGACAAATGACTAGATGGAGACGTGGAGAAGGTCACTGGCCTGAAGTCAGATGGCTGGCAAGTGGCAGCGTTGGGATTCAGAACAAGTAGCCTCTGCCCACCCGCCAGACTACCTTGTGGACCACTGAAGCTCCTTGCAGAGCTGACCACAAACTGTTCTTCCCATCTGTTTATACAGATAAAGGTGGTTACAGGGTGAATGTGATTCTCACACAAGTATCAGTCACCTCCACTTTGAAAGGGAATCCATCTGTCTTCGTCATTGCAGTATCCTCAGTGCCCAGTAAAGGGTTTTGTGTGAGGACACTAGTGTAGTGATTCTGACCAATAAAGAGATGTGACCCCCATCTCAGCCTTGATGCTTTGGAGCTGTCCCAGGTGCCCATGAGGGCAGGGCTGGGAACCACCTCATTCACCACTGCCCCAAGTTGTCCAGCAGAGACCCAGGCACAAGAATAGCAGCTTAATGGATGTAGAATGAAACAGCTGGCTCTGAACCTGCTTCTGTCCCAGAGTGATCATTGTCCCATTAGACCAGCACTAAGGCCCAGAGTATGGCTAAGCCTACACACCCAGATACAAAGGAAACAACACCAGCTTTGAGTGTTCTCTTTATTCAGGGTTTTGTGGGCAGAAGGCACAGTGAAGCCATTTGCCTCATGCTCCCCCAGCACCCTATCTAACAACTACCTCACATATTTATAAATAAGTATAAAGATGGTCAGTAGAAAAGGAGGACATCCCTCAGCCCCGGAAGACAAAGTTAGAGCTTCAGCTTAGGGAAGAGGTAGATGCCTGTCCTCCCCACGCCCACCCTTGTGGGACAGGAAGCCAAAGTTCTGGGTGCTAGAGCACTGGACTGAGCATCCTTATACCATGGCCCAGGGTACTGGAGTCTGGTTTAAACCAGGTGGCAAGCCCAAGGTCACAGCCAGCAGTTACGTGCAACCTGGCACTTTTCCATGGAGGAGGACACTTCTCTGAAATGGGTTGAGGTATCCCCAGCAAGGCAGCTCTGATTTCCAAAGAAATCAGTTTCCCTGCTTGGGAAACTTCTGCTGCAGCAATCCACTAGCAGGAAGGGGACAGAAAGGCCCAGGGCTCAGGGACAGAAGGAGGAAGTCCTGAGGTTGGATCTGGTGCACCAAAGGATGAGGTTGTACTGGTCACAGTGCTGACACCCAGGCTGGATGTGGATGCAGTTTGGGTCTGCACCAGGTCAGCAGTCTTCTAAGGGAGGATCCCCCCAGGCTGTGGCGTGGCAGGGCAGGAAGGAGGCCATGAGCTGTGCCCCACCTTGGGACATGGGCCCTGGGCAGCTTCAGGCATCTCATGTGATGCACCCTCCACTCAGCACTTGGCCTCCAGCCGTGATTACGCTGTCACTCCCAGGTGGACAGATGGCTCCTGGATGTACTCACAATTGAAGCCCAGTACCTGGAGCACTGAGACTGACTGCCCAGGCTCTGAGCTTGGAACCAGCTGGGAGCCAAGGGGGACTGACGGCAGTTCGGGTCATTCATGTGGCCGTGGGCAGAGTCAGGCCGGTATGGTGACCTTGACTTGTGTTTTCAGGGCCGCGGAGTTTGCCTGCAGCCTCTGGCAGCGCTTCAAAAGCCTTCCTGGCTGGTCAGGGGACCTGTCCTGGTTCCATTGGCTCACTGTAACCCCACCTGGTTGTTCCCTGGATCATGAAGGAACCAGAAGCTGCCTGGTGTACCAAGCCCCTTTGGACCTTCCACACTGGCCATGTGCACTGTGCCAGTGCAGCCTCTTCCATCACCCACCTCTGGCCCCCCATGAGATCTCAGGGCTGCTCCAGCCAGACTGGCAGCATCCTGTAACAGCCTGGCAGTGGCTGAGTGGGTCAACTCTGTGCCAGCCCCTGAAGAAGGCAGATCAAGTTGTCCAGGCCCCAGAGGTAGCCATCCTCATGGTTGCCCTCAGCCCAGGGCAACCTGTGGCTGAGTGTCTGGTGGTCAGGCAGGGCCACTGTCTTGCCGAAGTCGATCATCCAGACCTTGGCCAGGCCAGTGTGGTCGTGCACAAAGAGCAGGGAACTGCCAACCACCTGCAGGGGAGAGATGGGTAGTTAGCAGAAGGTACAGGCACTGACTAAGGTATGTCCCCTGACAGGGACCAGGGCAGGCCTCTGCCTCTGCCACTACCGGGCTGTGCAGCTTTAGGCAGGTATTTTGTTTTGTTTTGTTTTGATTTTTTGGTACCAGGGATTGAACTCAGGACCTTATGCTTGCAAGGCAGGCAGAGGCACCACTGAGCTAAATCCCTGGCCCTTTGGGCAGGTGTTTTGACCTCTTTGTGGCTTTGCATTCATATACAAAGTAAGAGAGCAATAGTAGCATTTACCCCAGAACTGCTGTGAAGAAAGATAGATAAAAAATTAACCCACTTAGCCAGGCATGGTGGCTCACACCTGTAATCCCAACACATAGGAGGCTGAGGCAGGAAGATCCAAGAGTCTGAGGTGAGCTTGAGCTGCATATTAAGTTCAAGGCCAGCCTGAACTACATAATGAGACCCTGTCTCAAAAAACACCCACATCGGCCCGGGGATTTAGCTCAGTGGTTCCAGTGCCTGCCTCACAGGCCCAAGGTCCTGAGTTTGATCCCCAGCACAAAAAAAAA